CCCGAGGCCTTCATGGTGCTCCAGCTGAGGATGAGGGTGGTGGAAGAGCAAACCAGCGCCCTGGCGCGAGACCTGGAGGTGCTTGGTGTCGACAGGCAGAGGTAGGGAGAAAGCAAGGGTAAGCTTCTTTCGTTATGGGAGAGCTCATGCTTTTCTTCATCTTGTTCATCTTTGCACGCGTTTGCCATGCTTTGCTGTTCTCAGTAGGGGAGCTGGTAGTGGCAGAGTTAGCGGGAATTGGCTACAGCAACCTCGGTTCATAGGAAAACTTCCAGCTCCGTGAAACTTGGTTTCTAACCTACTTGCCTCTGTAATGCATACATGCACTGCCAGGTAGGTATGCATACACAGAGTAGGTCAGTCTTTTCTCCTTTTCAGCCTCGAGCATTTCCACTCAAAGACTTCAGAAACACGTGCTAATCAGCCAGCCATTAGCCCTGTGCAGGCCAGGGTGGCATTTGTGGGAGAAAATACACTGTGGAAAAACTGTGAAACACTGGTGAATCGAATGTGTCGGTTAGAGAGTGTTGTACAGACACTGAAATTAAACATATTCCGACTGCAGACAGAAAAGGAGCTGAATCCAAAGCATGCAGGTAGTAAAAAAGTTTTTTTACCACCTTGTTCTATTGTCCCTCCATATGCTTTTTCTGCCAGTGAAAATTTTTTGCCTTTTCCTTGTGGCAGCCCAGTTGGAGCAGCGTCTGAATGCAATCCACATGGAGCATTTGCAAGAAATGAAGATTGTACAGCAAGAAGCAATGAAGTTGCGCCAACACTTAAGTGATATGAAAGAGGCTGAAGAAAAGGCAAAAGAAGAAGTTCAGAGGCTGAGTACTGCTCTGGAGATTACAACTGCATCCAAGGTACAAAAGCTTATGATCTTATAGTTTCAGGTATGAAACAAACTTGTTAAGTACATAACTATGTTCATCTCTGACATAGTTAAACAGAAAGTATACTCAGCCAGAAAAAGGAGTTTATGATATATTGTTGGCAGTAAGGGCAAACACTTTTGATAATGGGAATCTGTGCTTCCATCAATTAAAAACAAAATTACATAGCAAATAAAGAATAAAAATAGTTGAAATTTGTAATTCTGTCATCTTCATGACTTAAGTTCATTTCATGTGTAGAGTTTTCAATAGCTTTTCTGTTTTTTTAGGAACTTACGTTTCTCTGGTATTTGTCTTACAAATATTACTATCTTCCTTGAAGAGGACTTCAATGGAGTATGTCACTCAATCTCCTTAATTGTGTTAAAGAATGCAGGGCTTCTTAGTGCTTGCAGTCTTATGTTCAGTGCTTCAGAACAGAGATCATCAGACTGGAGATAGAAATAAAGTTCTAGGCATTTGTGTGGCTGTTGCTTTTTAAAATACCTATTGCTTTTGCAATAATTATGAACATGTAAGGATAAAAATATCTGTTCCTTCCATGTTTAGATGGATGTAATGATTGCAGCAGAGGAACTGAGGAACACAAAACAGAAAATTAACTTTAGACTTCAGGAGGTAAGTACAAGAGCAAAGAGCTTAGTAGGAGGCTGAACTTGCCAAATATTATTTAAAGATTTGAAGAAGATCCTTCAATAATATTCTGGTGCAATTTTGGAATCTGCACAACCCAAAGAAATTTGCCAGCCTGCTTATGATTAAATACCCAGACAGAACGTCTTTCATATATGAGCTTGAAGTGTTTGTCCAATCTGCTTAATTAGACCTGCGTCAGAAATTGTTTATTTTTTCTAGCTAACAGAACAGCTGTCCCAGGAGATCAAACTGAGGGAGTCTTTGGAGGAATCCCAAGCAACTGTGATGTATCATGTACAGGACATTGAAACAACAGTAGAAGCAGAACGAAAGCAGGTTTGAGAAACTTTCAGTCTTTTTTTGTATCTGTTTTCATTTTCTCATCTGGGAGGAAAAGCAAGAACTTGGATGTCGTTCCTAGGAACCAGTTAAAAACACTTTATAATTACAACATCTTGTACAAACGCTGATCAGAAGACATGATGTAGATAAACTTCCTGCTCAAAGTAGAAGTATCACAAACACTGGATTGGGGCAGTGGTGTGTGAACTCTAGCAGAGTTCAAGGACTGTGATTCCATGGCTGCTTTAGGTTTTGGGTTTTTTGTTGTTTGGTTTGTTGGGTTTTTTTAATAGTGCTGCAGTAATGTTCCAGTTAGGATTCCCCCCCCCCCAGCCATCTGATCTGAATGTTTCAAGCTTAAATTTGGGACCATTGCCCCTTCTTAAATCATTCCACGCAACTGAAAAAAGTTTGACTTCATAATCTTTGTAACTACGTCTCAGACTTGTGGGCCACAACTGGATCCTGCCTTAACCTCTTCTTCACCAGGTTAAACAAGCCTCTTTATAATGAGGTACTGATAAACCTTCTTTAAGAAAATGCAATTTCTGAAAAATACTCTGTTGAGATCTTAAACATTCTGGGAGTAAGAAGGTTTTCCTCATTAATTGCCATGATGACAAAGCTAGATTTTTGCTCTCAGCTGTATTTGCATTACCTAGCTATTTTGGAGTATGAGGAGGGGCCATAGTTCATGGTAGAAATGAACTGGCTTACACGTAATTCAGATAACGAAACCAGTCCCGCTTTCTGCCTGCATACGCACACATTTGCTACATGCAGTCACTCTAACACTTCTGAATTCATAGCAACAGTTTAGTACAGATAAAACAAAGCGAATAGCAAAGTACCAAAACTTAAATAACTAAGGGTGGGTTTTTTTCAATTTTTTGATGATCATCAAGGTCTCTTTGTTCCTGAAACATATTACTGGTTTTTTTTTTCCTATGTGCCTTTTATCATCTTTGTGTTCTTCTACAGCAGAAGTGGAAAAATGTCGGATACATTATTGAACTTTATGAATTACACATTATGTGAGAAGCAAAGGCTTAGTTTAATTCATCTATCACTTTCTGATGGGTATAGTTGACTGTGGTATATTTATTAGTTAGTGTTAAAACAAAAAAAAATTCCTCACAAAATGGCATGAGGCAGACTTGTTAAAGTGCCTTGAGTGTTGTTATTTCACCTTCGTCTTTTATAGCTTGATCTTTTAATTGTTCAAATTTATTAGATTCTGCCTGTTATGTAAAAATGATTATAAACACACATACACTGTGTTACATATAGAAATTGAGTTGCTTGCCATAAAGGTCTTCTGCAGAAGATTAGGACAAGCAGAAAGAGAGGCAACTGATCAGGCTATATCTTTTCCAGTTAGATGGTTTTCCAGAACTTTTCATGCTCTGAAGTTTGCTTAGCTTTACCTGACTGAATTCTGCATCTTAAAGAATAATTTGTGATATCATTGCAGGTGCAGATATTACGGCAGGACTGCCAAGAGTTGCGTAAAGATGTCCAGCTAGCCCAAGTGAGGCTGCAAGAGGAGCAGGAAAGAACTGCTCAGCTGAAGCAACAGTGCACACAACTGAAAGCTGAGCTGGGTATGACAGTGTGTTCTTGTCATATGGTTTTAGCCCTTCGCTCATTGCTTCCACAGTGAGAGGAAAGAAGCACTGAGGTCCTCCAGACCTGTGGCAGCTCTATCAGTTAAGAGGAATGGAGGGCATCTTAAGAGGTGATGAAATATTAAAGGCCTTTAGTTTGCATGTGATGTTTCTAAAGCCTCTTCTTACCTAGAGGAAACTGATAACAGTGGTAATCAGGGTAATGAATACACAACAACAGTATGAAAAGATTCCATGAGCATAAATTCTTCTCAGTGGAGACTTCATCTAGCAAGTAACCATTAATGCATGATTCCTGAACTGATGTGCAAGTAGCCCATTGCTATTGAGTCTTTTACAGCTGATTAAAAAAACGTGCCCTAGTAATCATCAGTATCAGGACAAGCATCTTGGATAAGCCTCTAGTTCATCTCATTTAGATTCCCATTCTGTTCCCCCAGGTTAGGGGAAGCTCCATATTGTCAAAATTAAAAGGTAAGTGTTCCTAACAATTTATGGAATCAATTTTTTAAAGTAATTTTGCTGAAATATTGAAGTTATCAAGAAAAGTGTTAAAGAACACCACATTTGTAGAAGTCTTACCTGTTTTTGGCATATTCAGTAACTTAGCTAAACTGAAGCATTAAATCAGAATGTCACCATTTAAAATTACCAAACAGATAACAAAGCATGTCCTGACATTCTTTTCTATTTTTAGACTCCAGGAACTATATCATTTCCCAGCTTGATGAAGAAGCAAAAGTAAGTTGTAAACAAGTGTTGGTGAGGAAAATAGCTAAATAAAGATCAGAACAGCCTATATGGGGCATTTTTCGTTTACCACACTTCAGAGGCAGAATTTTTATGTGGGCAAAAGCCACATGTGACCAAGGCTACTAACCACTGAATGTCTTACTTTAGGGTTGCCCTACTTATTTTTTGAAAGATTAACTTTCATATTCTACTGAAATATCAAAACACTGATAGCCATGCTGTCCTTGGAAAGCTAGAACTGACCAGGAAACACAGTTGTCGTAGCACAAGTATTGCATACAAAGGAGACAAATAGATGGATTGGTAATTGATACTACGGAAAAGTCAAAGTCTTGGTCAACTAGATACTAAAATAGGCTTATTGCCTGTGTAGGGACTGTGTGTGCTGTCTGAAATCTTTTCTGAAAGAGTGCGTTTCAGTGAAAATGAAGTAAAAGTTCAGCTTTGGCTGTAGGGTCTCACAGTGCTAGCAAAGGATTCCTTCAGTTGTGAACTGTACCACTTCTGGCAGGGAGATCTTTTAAGTTCAGAAGTATGGAGATTAATTATAGCAGAGACTAAGAAGTTTGAACTCAGAAGGATATAAAGTCACCCTCAACTTCCAAAGCTAAGTTAGAGCAAATAGCACTTCGGTTATTATTTCAAGGTATATTTTAGAATGAGGCATGTACTATAGGAGCCATGTCTGATGCTTGCAAGAGCACATAGCTATGTGACAACAGCTTAAAGGAAATAGGCAAGTATGAAATGAAGACTCGATATTTGTAAAGTCCCTAGCTAAATTACGTTTACATTTTTTCTCAGTGGATGTTCTGTTTTATTGCCCCTTAGATTGCACAGCTGTCCTTTAGCAAAAAATGCAAAGAGAACCTGCAACTTCAGTCCAAAATGACTGCTCTGCGAGAAACAGCAGAGAAAGTACAGGTAATGAAAATAGCAACTCTTGTTTCTAAAATGGAAATAAAGTATAACAAAACAAGTGATTACAGTGAGAAATGATTTTAGATTTACTGGGAAGCCTCAAATGCAGGTCAGAAGACCAAGTTTAGTGCCCTCAGGTAATGCGGGCTAATGAACAACTTCCAGTGAAGGAATTTGATCACTAGCCTATGTAACCATTCCAGATTTCCCAGCCTTAAGGCTGGAAAGTTTTCTTCCTAATATTTATTTTGCATCAGCTTTTTTGAAAGTGTCTTCTTCAGGGGCCAGGACATACAGAACTACTGCTGCTCCCTCTTCTGTCTACCCTTGAAGTAGTACATTTATATGGCTTTGCACTTTCAGATTCGACCTCAATATGTTTCTATTAACGAGTCAAGTATGGAGCACCTGCTCGGCTAAAGTTTCCTCTGCCTTTTGGGACAAAAGGTTGACCTCAGTACATTCTAAAAAATTTTATTTACTCTACTTTCCCTTTTTTTAGAACATATTCTAGAAAACATTTTCCTAGTCCCCCCCCAACAGATATGTGTTTATTTCATGGTGTTCACTGGTAATGGGATTTGGATATGTCTTTCACAGGAAAGTTCCATTTTTCTTTGGTTATCTACAGTAATTAAACTATGAAATTAGGGGTCTGTTTTCACTTTTTGCCTTCTTTGCCTTAGAAACATTACTTTTTTGTGGACTTCAAAACTAATAAGTGATTATGCTTGGTTGGTAAACTGTTCTCTTTTTTCCCATTACTGTAAACTTTTAACACCTTGGAATAAGTCTACCATAAATTGGGACTACTTGAACAAATTTTTTTTAAATTTTCTACCTAAAATAGATTATTCCACATCTGCAAGAGTTTGGGTTTTTTTAAGTTTCTGACAGCCTACTGTGCAGAAAAAAAACCCAAGCCAAGACCCTGAAAACATATTTGTCATCCTCTGCCTTCTATCTAACCAGGTTCTTAATGACCACTTAAGCCAGCAATGCTCAGAGCTCAGCACCACACTCCAAAGTGTTGCCATGGAGAATGCTAAACTAATTTCAGATCATCAAACCATGCTTAAGGTATGTAGCCTACTTTTACAGTCCAAGAAAGTTGTCTGCAGCTCAGACATTATACAACAAACTAATTCCTAATATTGATAATCTGTGGGAGTACAGTAAAGTACGTTACATATAACAATGAAAGTTCTATAAAGGTGTGTTCTATAAAGAAGTGTTAGTGTTCTTCTTTGGCAAAGATTTATTTTCAATACAGAAAAAAAAAGTCATCTTATGGGGAAAGAGTGTAAATATGATAATACTATTTATAGAAACATCCTGTAAGAACTACTGAGAAAGAGGAATGTGGGGATTATTGGGCATTGCAAGTCAGTAAATGCAGAAGCTGAGCAGAAGTAATAAAGATCTGAGATTAAATATAAAAGAAGGTAAGGTGAACTCAGCTTTGACACTCTATTCAAGCAGCACATCACAACATGCAGAATTATAGGGATGATGTAGGAGTTCAATGACAAATTAACAGCTTTGTAAATTAATTACTCATCCCTCATCATTCTAACATCAGTGTTATTGCCTGGGTAATTTTTTCACCTTTAGGCAGAACAAGAAAAGAGTTGTAAGCTGCAAGAGCAACACTCGCTTCTGAATGCTGCCCATGCCGACGTTCTCAGAGAGCTACATAGTGTGCAGCATGAGAGGGCTCAGCTTCAGAGAGCGCTGTGAGGAGTTTCCTTGTCTGCAGCCTGTCTCCCCTTCCTCCATTGCATTCTCACCACCTTGTATTCTGCTCCTCTAGCACTTGCTACTTATTAACACAGAAGGGCCAGTTTGGTATTTAATGTGGAGGCCATCTTCTGTCCTGTTGTGCTAGAACTCCAGCTTGGCTATTTTGTCTTTCTTTAGGGAGGCCTTGCATACAGAGCATGGCAAATACAGGCAGAAAGCAAGCCTTGCTGAGGAGGCAGCAAACACACAGAAACAGCTTTTGGAATGTACTGTTGCTAGACTGCAAGGTGAACTTGAGACAGCTTTGCAAGAGAAAGGATCTCTGCTGGCGGAAAAGGAAGATCTTCAAGAGGAGGTACAGAACACTTACTGTTTTAAAGCTATATTCTTGAAGGCTGCTTTAGGACCCACATTGCTAGAGTTATTAACAGACCAGTTTTGCTTTCCAGACGGTTACTTTTTGCTATTGCAGTGGCAAGCGTGACACACTCTCCCCTTTCCAACTATGCTTATAGTTTGACCTGTAGTATCTCCTCTCTGGAGCATAAAAAGAGAGAGGACAGGGCAGCTCTGCAGATGCTATTTCTGAACTTCGGTGTTGACTTGCAACCTTCAGATTACCTGTTCTGGAGATGCATAGTATTTCTGTGAATCTGGACATTTTCAGGTGACAATGATTTCACATTTCTTTTGACAGATAAGGATGACAGCAAATGAAATAATACAGGAAAGGAATAAATTGGAAGTGGAAAAAACAGAGAATGAGGTATCTTGCAATATATATGGCTGTTCTTTAAATTCAGTGTTGTCTTTCTCTGAGTTTTCCTTTCATTTTGCTTACTCTCCCAACTAAATTATTTCTAAATAGAGTGATATTTACCATAGTCATATTGTTCACTTTTCTGTTTGGTATTTTTCTTGTCTATATAGATGTGTCCTTTGGAGCAGCAACCCTACTGCTACCTACACAAGGTCCTATTTGTAGTAATAAGTTTGTTATGCTACTGTGGCAAATGATAAATAATTTTCAGCTTCCTTGTATATGCATAGCCTAGAAAAGGAAAGGCAGCGTTTGTGGCATAAATGAGAAATTCCTTAGTGTTACGACGGAAGTCAGCATGGTTGGTAGAGTTTCTTTCACTGTTGTGGAAGGGCTTTCTAAAACAGGAGAGACTATACCTAATCCATATGTAGTGCTGAGGTTTTGTGATATTAATGTGTTGTGACTGGAAATCTTGGAGTGGTGTGATTAGAACTGGATTTTGTTGTTCATAGCTAGAAATGGTTTCAATGAAATTCACTTTGCAAACACTAGAGGAAGAGAACAAGAGGCTATTGCATCGCTTGGCTGCACTGGCACATGAACAGGTAAGTCACTGATAAAGTAGATAACTGATGACCCAACTGATCTGTAACTGTAGCAGGAATCACAGAATCACTAAGGTTGGAAAGGACCTTCAAGATCATCAAGTCCAACCATTAATCCAGCGCCACCATGTCCCCTAAACTATGTCCTGAAGCGCCACATCTACACATTTTTTGAACACTTCCAGAGATGGTGACTCCACCACTCCCTGGGCAGCCTGTTCCAATGCTTGACCACCCTCTCAGTGAAGACATTTTTCCTAATATCCAATCTAAACCTCCCCTGGTGCAACTTGAGGCCATTTCCTCTTGTCCTATCACTAGTTACTTGGGAGAAGAAACCAACACCCTCGTCGCCACAACCCCGTTTCAGGTAGTGGTAGAGAGCCGTAAGGTCTCCTCTCAGCCTCCTTTTCTCCAGACTAAACAACCCCAGTTCCCTCAGCCGCTCCTCATAAGACTTGTGCTCCAGACCCCTCACCAGCTTCGTTGCCCTTCTCTGGACATTCTCGAGCACCTCAACATCCTTCTTGTAGTGAGGGGCCCAAAACTGAACACAGGATTCGAGGTGTGGCCTCACCAGTGCCGAGTACAGGGGCACAATCACTGATTGTGATTCAAGGTGCTCTTTGAAGTAATCTGTATTTTATGGAGAGTGGCTGATCAGATTAAGGAATCAAAAATAGGAAAAATGAAAACAAAAGGATATTTCAAATGTTACTCCATCTTTTTAGATGTCTGTGTGGGATGAGCTGAGAGGCCTATATAGAGCTTCAGGTATTGGACATTTAGGTATGTCATTAAAATCCTATGACTCCATTCCATTTTCTAGTACAGGTATACATATATATGTACAGATATACAAGCTATTCAGCTTGTGTACATTGGGAAGGTATTAACAACAGTTTTATGCCCTTTGTGGACAAATTTGCACTTGGGACCTCTTTCCCATTTTTAACTTGTTCCCATTCCATTATTTCTCACTACTCTCAGTCACCTGCATCAGGATACTTGACTGGTTCCAGAAAATTTAAGTAAAAGCTTAGTAATACTGTGCTACCAGTGCTTTTACAATTGTTTTGTTTGTTTGTTTGTTGTTTTTTTGTTTGTGTTGTTTTTTACAGTGTTGGATGTAATGACCAGTTGTATGCATTGGAGATCCTAGAGAAACACTTAGCTGCTGATAATTCTTCTTTAGCATTGTGATGCTAGGACTTTAACTGAAACGCCTTTTGAATATTTGTTATTTGATAATCAAAGTTAAATTTCCACATTAATTAGTCTGTAGCATATGTATAACTTTTTTCTGTTTAACACAGAACTCCTTTGACAGTCATCAGTTAAAGAACATGAATCAATAGAGCATTCAGAGCCTTTAAAAAGTTGCCTGATTTTTAATTTTTTTGTATTCTTCACTAAGTTCTTTTAATTCTGTCCATGCCTTCTCATTCTTCTAGTTTATTTTTCTTCTCTGTTCCTGTTGACAAAGACTATTTTCATCTCTCCATTTCTGTTGCCTCTGCTTCTAGTGGCCTTCTTGTGGCCATGTGGAAGGTTGTGCCAATTTGAGCAGTTCTTCCTAAAGGTAAGCTCTCTAGGAGGAATTTATGCCATTTGGATATTTTTTTCTTTAAATCTGTTTTAGTGTTTCACCTAATTGAAAATTTATACCTGAAGCAACAGAGGAAGGTTAAAATACTCAGGGAGAAAAAGGACACTGAATACGTTTTTTGTTGCTTTTTGCCTTGTTTTTCCTATAGAGTGGTGATGTCTGCTCTTTTTTCCTCAGTATACCCAGCAGCAGGTACAACAGGTGCTGGCAGAGCTGACTGACAGCAAGAATAAACTGGCCTTTAACAAAGGAAAACTTCAGGTACCTCTCAGCATCCTATTTGTCAGCTCAAATGGGAAACTCATATTTTTATTTTGATCTAAGATAAGGTTGTTTAACCTTAGCGCTTAGGGACTTAATTTAGAGGGAAGTGCTTATTTATCTTCTCTACTTAATGTATTTGTGTAGTGTCAAACACAAATATTAAGAGTTCTGTATCAAAATCGTCTTTGATCCTGCTCATACTGCCTTTGGGTGACAAGATGCTGTTGATGTAGCATCTTTAGGATTTGTGGTAATGAAGTTGCTTAATGTGTGAAAACAGTAAATGGCTAAGGACCACCAGGGGGCATTAAAACAAAATGTGTGGGTAGAAAATTGGTTGAAAGATTAGAAACATGGAAACCTTTATAAAAAAATACAAATTAACAAGGAGGGAGGAAAGCTATGGTGATAAGCAAAAAATCAACACTATACATACGGTTTTGTAAGCAGAAGTTAGACAGTAAATGAGGCGCTGAAAGTAATGCTTTTACTTCAGTGTGACCTATGTCATAGAATTTGGGACAGTGGTGCAAAGATTCCTAAGGTTCTTTTAGAAACAGCACAGAATGTGCTGAATAGTGATTATTAGAGAGCAAGAAGGCTACATTTATGCAGTTGTTCTAGGTCTAATGGTAGTGACAGAAGGAAGTGACCAAGACATTATACTTAGATTTAAAAAAGATGAATTTAATCTGCAATTATTTCTATGGAAGGGTAAGTTAGAAGCAATTCACTTGCTACTTCTCTTACTATGGGACTCAGGGAAAAGAAAACATTTGCTCTGGGCTGAGAGACAGAGACAGTGTCACATCACTCTGCTTCTGTGTCCCAAATAAGATTATGTTTTTCCGTTTCTGCACTAAAAGAAAGCTGAGCTATTTTGCCACATCTCTTTTCTTAAGACTGAAGTGCAGAAGCTGGAGGAAGAGCAGTAGATTCATGTTTAGATAATAGTGAGCTTTGCAAGTGCATTACTTAGAGACAAAATACACTCAGGTGAAAAACTTTGAGCACTTCTTACCCCTCAGAATTAGGGTCAGACTAACTAATGCTTACATAGCCATTAGAAATCAGATTCAACAGACTTTTTTCTGAAAAACAGAGCATACATTTAGTGTTAGCTGTAGCATTCTAATCTGCAGCTGGAAACAGAACTTAATTTTATCAAAACTAACGTGAGAACTATGGAAGCTCAACCTGAACAGAGCTGTTTTTCGTGCAACTTGGTTACATGTATTCAGGCTAGAAAACGCACAGTTTACAGGATTATAAGGTTAGTCCTCAGGATTTATTATTATTTCCCAGTAAGAGAACAAATAGTTGCAGATAGTACTTGTCTAGCTATATTGCTGGGAGGTAGAGAGTTATTCTGCTTCAGTCTGTTCACTCAGACAGTACAGAGAAGAGATCTGTTGTCCTGGGCAGTGAAACCAAGCTTGTAGGTACAAGACTGTGAAGTAGACTCTGCTCTGTCATGAGTTTGCTATTCTAAGCTGTAAATTCAAGTAACTGCATTGAGACTTCTGTTCACAGGCAAGAATGAACTCGTAACAGTGTATGTTCTTTATGGACTCCTCTTGCTTCCCAGATACCAAAGCAATCTAGTAATACATTTTGAGTTGGAAAACTAAAGAGGTAAAAGTGACAAACTGTCAATCATATCCATAATTTCCATGCCATGATCTAGAAATTAGACAGAAGACGTAACCATGTTTAGGACACTCCCTGGAGAGCAGGAGGTCCTATTTTTGCCTTCTGTTGCCAGAAAGCAAAATGAATCAAAGTTTTTCTTGCACTTTATTCTCTATCATGGAGGATGGTCCATCAGATAGTCAAAGGCAGTTGTGTTGACGATTGGAACCATGATCTGAATGCTTTCAGATTTTGGGAAAGTTAGAACACTCAGTTCCATTGGTTTGTGGATATAGAGAACTAGCTGTAGAAAGGTCTCACAGTGGGAGTATACCAGAAGGGTGCTCAGAACTAGGGGCTGTGCTGGCTCTGCGGAGCTGTGACAATGGCTGATATCACAGACTTCTAATGAAGTTCCAGGCAGCACTGTGTCTCGCTGCTGCCAAGATACAGAGGGAAATCACATGACTTTGGATAATGCATCATGGAAAGTGTCAGAGAAGAGACCTTAAATATCTTCCTGAAGTAATGCAGACTTAGGAATAAGATGTAGCATCTACTTGTGCTCCAGTGGATAGATATTTTTGAGAGTGTTTTTTCAGTTACTGGTTTTGGTACTCATATCTTCACTGCTTTCAAGGGCTGACTGATTTTGTGGTAGGAATGACACCAAAAAGAAAAAAATTCCACCGCCAAGTCTTGGCAACAGAAGTCTTCTGATCATAATGCTAGGTCAGCTGCAGGCTCAAGAGAAGAAACTATGAAATCTGATATACGTACTTGTGCTCACTGCTCTACTTTATACTGAGTTCATTTTGAACAAGATGAATGTTCAAGAAACTCTGTGTCTGAATGTGGAGGTATCTTAGAGTCAGCTGGAGGATTCTGTTAAATGCTAAAAAGAACATGAGAGAAAAACTGGAGGATATAAGAGACATTCTCCCTCCAAGATCATTGACAACTGGATGGTCTACTGGGCTTAATAAAGAAGATTTTAATGTGGTGAGTGATGACTATGAAATGCAAGTTAGAATGATGGTTAATTTCAATGGGCTAGTTGATGACTATGAAGAAATGGCTGAAAGTTAACAGAGACTAAAACCTTTGAGTGTTTTTTATTTGAAAGAGATGCAGATGAAAACTTAGGCTAAGCAACATTAGAATCAACACCTAGTTTTGAATAAAAGCCCAACTTCATGCACCTGTGGCACTTCCTGAAGCCTGGCTGCCAAGAGTTCAGAAGCATTGGAACTATCAGTTAGTTAAAACACCCACAAAAAGCCCCAAGAACACCACCACACACTCAGCTTGGGCTTAAACCAGAGGCAGAGCAAAGCTTGTGTAATTGGAGGGAGCTATTTCCATGTTCAGAAACATTGCATGCTCTTGCACTGCTGCAAGCATGCAGTTTACTTATAAAAGAATTTTTTAATAAAACTCTAATAGATGACTGATTTTTCCTGCTGGTTTTCCTAATGATTTCTTTTACTGCAGATGGCAAACTTGCAGCACCAGCTGGAGGCAGCAAAGGTTGATAACACTAAGGTGACAGCCATGTTGGAGCATGTGTTAGCTTCTCATAACAAGATGCAAGCAGCTCTGGATGTGGTACAAACTGAACTGGTACACAAAGACACTGAAATCAGTAACCTCAGAAGAAACAAGTAAGTGAAACTGATACTGTTTCTGTGGTCTATCAGTAGTATGGTGGTGAAGACAGATACAGTTGAGGACTGGCATCTTCCCCATGGTTCTGCCTAATAAGCCAAAGGACAAGTTTGTTTGATAAGTTTCCCATATCCTTTCCTGCAACACTGAAACACAGTACAAGTGAACTTATAGCTAACTCTGCAAGTTTGGCAGGTCTCATGTGTCTTGTGGAAAGTAGGTAAAAAATAATTTAAGTTTAGCTTCAGTAACAGGCGAAACTTAATTTGGTTAAGTTAGAGATCCAAACTGTGAGGTGGTCACCGCTTCAGAGGAGATGTGCACAAATTGACTTAATGCGTCATTTTTTTTAATCCTATTTCCATTTTCAGAAGCCAGACTCAACAGAAACTACAGAGGTTGGAAACAGAATTGGAATGTTGCCAAGCCAAACTGGTTGCCTTGGAAAGGCAGCACAGCAGCCAGGTAGAGCCTGCGTTTTTCTGTAGTAACAGCCACCACTGCATTTTTTGTGTTAAGCAAAGTACCTTTTCTTTTTCTGAATACAGTATGGTGTGGCACTTTCACGTGAATCAAGGCAAAAATATTCTATCAACTTTTGGCTGTGGAGCAGGAAAATAGTTACTCAAGTGTTGCAGGAGACAAGCCTGTCCTCTCTAAAAAAATTCCTTGGCTTTATAGGTTTTACAGTCTGCAGCTGGATACATAATATGAACAGAGATTTTGGAAGTTTATATAGCCTTTATTTTTTTTCTTATTAGAATGGAGGGGAAAAAGAGTCCAAGGAATCACTTTCATCTCCCCTCATAATGCACAATCAAAACACACTCACTATTGACAAAGAACATTTTTTTTTCCCAAGAAAGTCATGGCTATATGGCAAGATGTTCTGATCCTTCTGACTAAGCCAGTCAGTGGATTGGCATTGTAAGGATTCCCATCTAGTTGCCTGTGCTTAGGACATTTGTAATCAGACAGTTAGTGAACATACTGATACTTCCTGCAAGTTGATACTGACTGGGAAGGAAAAAAAAAAATATTCCTGTCTAAGCTTTTTCATTTGGGTAAGTATAAATCTGATTTATTGTTACTGCACAGGTGGAACCACTTTGTAAGTTATTAGAAAGCAGAAGAACGGACAAGAAACTACTTCTTTGTTTGGAAGAAGTTCTGCAGGCCAATAAGAACCTGCAGAGCAAGCTGATCCAAACTCAGTACGAGCTGAAAAGTAAGGAAACTGAGCATCAACAGCTGATGGTCTGCAGGTAAGACCAGATCCATGATACTATGCTTGAGGAGAAATACTACTTTGCACTTACAAAGAGCTTTATGGCTTTACTCATCTATGAATATCAGCATTGACTGTATGCGGAGCCAGCAGCATGATAAATTCATGCAGAACTACAGAAGTGAGCTCTTTCACTTGTTCCCATAATGACACTTCGACCTACTCTGCTGTACTGAGGAGCTACTTACCCAGGGTCATTATGGCACTTCCACAAACAGCTTTGCCATGAGGATAGCAGATACCACTTTCACACTGAAGTGGCCTGCAGTAGCTATAGCAAGGAGAGCACGGGATAGCTGTTTAAATTCCCCACACAAAACTGAACACTAGTAAGTAAAAGCTGAAACCTAAGTGTAGGTGCAGTCTGAATCTCCTCATTATCCTTTGTCTAAACAGGCTTAGCCATTTAATTTTATGAAGGAAAGTAAGTTGTCCTAAACTGTTTTTTCCAAAAAGTCTGTTTACCTTGTGTAGGTATTTTGAACCTTTTAAATAAATGGAATATGAAATATTAAAAAACACATCTTTGAGCAGTAGTGGTACAGAGAATATATCCAAGACAAAAGTATTGAGAATGGAATAGTCTTTCCTATTCTTGTGTTTAAAAAATAACACCTATTAAATATGAATGTGAATAACTTAATTTCTTTCTTCTTTTTAAAGGGAACAGCTAATGGAAAAAGCCAAGACAGAGGAAAAGATGTATGCTGAACACTTAGGGTCTTTGAAGAAGCAGATTCAAACTGAACAAGAGGCTTCCAGGAAAGCTGTCAATCAAGAATCCCCTGAGGTGAGAAGGGATGGAATTAAAAGATTTCATTGCATGATTTCCAGAGAAGGAGATCTGCTTTACAATTTTCCAGCAGAACAAGAGCAGCTCACGACAAATACTTGTGACCTTTTCCATTCATCATGGAGTTGTCCATTGCTTGTATACATGAATTTTGTCATGTGGTGGATGGACATTTTGGTGTCCATGCACAGTGATATCTGTGCTCTCTAACTTTTTCAAGTACTGCTCTATATCTCCCAACACTATATACCTCATTGTACTGACGTTCATATCAGTCATTCCAGTGACTTGAAAAGGATAATCTGGGGTTGTATAGCAATCTCCAGGGATAAATTACTGGTTTGGAAGTCTGCTTTGTTTCTTGGGAGCTGGATCATAAAGCTCAGCATAACCTTAGTATTAATCAGATCCCAGCATGCACTTTTTTCCCCTTTTGTTAGAGGAGTATTAAAGAGACATCAAACCACCAGGTGCGATAGCGTATTTCAGATACAGGAAATCAATTGGCTGTGCTGCATATTAATTGTTGTATAGAAAGAACTAATTCTTAGAGTTAATGTGAACTCACTTTTTCCTCTTTCCCCTAGATAAAGACATCCCTTGAAGAATCCTCCTCCAAATTGGCTGAAGTTTCCCTTGCTAACAGGGAGCTGTGGCAGAAAATAACAGAGCTGGAAAAGTCTTTGTCCAGTTACAGGGAAAAGCTAAAAAGCCAAAGAGCTCAAGTCAAACAATGCCTGGCCTATAAAGCTAACACAGAAAAGGTAAAGGCATGCACACATTTTTCAGTAAAAACAGATATCCTAGCTGAGAACAACTTTTTTCCCTGCACTGAGTAGGACTGCTGTTGATCCTTTGCAGTGGAGCTAGACTTGCAAATTAAAACTGACTCTGGACTCAGATTCTGAACAGAAGATGAATAGATCAATAGCAGCTGCAGTAATTGTGTGGCTTCTTCTGTCATCCCTCCCCCCGTATTAAATATTATGCCATAGAGTCCCATCCCCCCATTAGATTTTTATAGTAGTATTTGTCCTCTATAATTTTGTGGATACAGTCTATTTAATTATTGATTGGGCCAAACGTTCCTTGTGTAGCGATTAGTCCCTTTCCATCCTTTATAGCTGTAGAACTTACAGTTCAAGTGATCCCTGATCCTAAATGAGAATGTAGACTCCTTTGCAGCTCTGCTACCCGTTTGTTCCCCTTTCCCAGGTGGGACATGGGTTCTCTTAACTTGAATCTCGTAAGGCAAGAAATAAGGACACAATGTGCAGACATCCATAGAAATAGTTCCCATGTAACAGCCAGTGAGCCTAAAAAATTCCTAAAGTTTTGCTCCTCTCAACAACTTCCAGGAGACTGAATCCGAACTGAGGAAAGTGGAAGCAATAAAAGAGGAGTATCAGAAGAAGACTTACGAACAGGTGAGCTTTCTTGACTAGTTTCCTGAAGAGACTGATCTGCTAAAATGTTATTGGAATTTCATTCTTGTGTTGTCTTCAGTCACAGGACGTCCAGAAATTTGTGTCAGAGTTGAAAAGTGTGCAGAGCGAGATGCAAGTGGTGTTGAAAAACCAACATGAAGTGCAAGTGCAGAACAGGCAACTGGAGACCCAGCTGGAAGCAGAAAGAAGACGAAGGCAGCAGCTGGAAAACAAATGTCAGGTAAAGTAATAACAGCATAAAAAAAGTGATGAGACACCCATGGAAGCATTTGTGCAAAATCTATGGGGTTGTAGAAGAGCTGGTAGAAAGACTTTATGAACTCAGTCAAAAGATATTCCTATAAATCTTACTGTGCCTGTTCCAGAAAGCCCAAGTAACAACTTAACATACATTCACTCTATATCTGACTTTAGAGAGAGACAGATTATTTTTTTTAATGGTTGAACTCTAAGCTATTTACAATAAAGATTGGAGAATCCTTTCATTATATTGTGTTTATTTGTACCATGAATACATCAGATAGAAATTAATGTTACTTCTTTTTCTACCTAGAAACTGGAAAAAACAGTCAAACATCTGAAGAAATATAAAGAGGGGACAGAAAAGAAACTGAAGGAAGCCAGCATAGAGTCAGAACAGGTGAGACTACTTATCATTAGAATAATAATTCATTGACAGTAACACGATGGTATTTCAGCACATGCACCAAGTAACCCTTTCAATCTCAGATATAGATCTCTAGTGAAGAGTGAGGTGCATCCTTGGCCTTTTCAACTAAGTGGCGATTATCATATTTTAAAAAACAAAAAAAATTTCAAAGTTTTTTCTGTGAATCACTTCAATATAGTGGGGCTGGTAAGAAGAGCTTTTGTCCCTCACAGGCTGCTGTTTTTGTCAGGCTCAGGGTATCTCTGTTAACCAACCAAACAGAAGTGTTGTGGCCAAGTAAATTGCACCCCCTGAGATGCTCGTGTCACTCTATATGTGACCATGCAAAAACGCACATTTTTCCCCCCAGTTGTCCTTGCATCACCTCACCCTTGCGCTACTGTACCACAACACCCAAATTATTATAGTTTGCATGGTTTACTGTAGCGGGTTGGGGTGGAAATCTAGAGGTTTAGATGTTTTATAGGGTATTAACCAGCATAAAATAAAATTTAAACAAGTAATAGAGGTGCCCCAATCTGAGGTCTTACATGCAGCTTGTCAGTTCAAGTACTGTTCTGTGATTAGAAAGAGACCTTAATAGCAAGAGAGTACTTCTACAGCATTCTGCAGGCAAGGTTAGTCTTCCCTCATCTTTCTCAGGAGTTTGTGGTACTCAGCATCCACTTTTCCCCCCCTCTTCCCGATGCCTCTGTATTTTATGCTGTGTTGGAGATCTGCGTTGACTTCATTACCCGCCTAAGAGTGTGGACCCCCCTTGTAGCGAGAGCCTCTCTGATACATCCTTTTCACAGCAATGGAAGAGGGCATCATGGAGATGTACGTACCCCTATGTACAGGAGAAAGATTTGAGTTGTATGCTGCGTTAACTATTCTCTTACCAGCTCTAATTACAGTGCCTTCCCTAGATCACAGCTAGCCTAGAAGCAGCTCACCGCTGGTTCAAATCTAAGTTTGACGGCCTGCAGCTAGAAGTTGGGAAGAACCACCAGCCAAAGAACCCCGAAGAGAGCAGCTTCAAAAAGGATGTAAAGAAAGCAAGCACATTCATTTCAAAGGGAGAAGCAAAGAAAATAGGTGAGGGAAGTATTTGGCAGCTCATTATCAGTCAGGATTTTTGTTTCCTAAACTTTCTTTTGTAGTTCCTTACACAGGGGTGAGAAAACAGACCCCTCTTCTAATTTAGTTTGTTTCCTCCTCTTTTGCTAAAGGACATAATTAAGCAGAAAGTATTTTTACAGGTAGAAGATAGCTTCAAGGGACTGTTTCTGTACTTAGAAAAGTTCTGTAGCACATACTTCATGTCTTGTTGATGCTCATTAACCAAATACTTGTCCGAAAGCTAAGAGCTAGTATATTTTCTTATCTGCATTCACCTCTGTTTCAGCAGTTCTCCTTCACCTCCTCCATACCTTCTACAAATACCTTTTCAAAAGCTGTGCTTACCTTGTTTGTGTAGGTTCATCAGCCTTCTCCATAATTGGTAGTTCTTATATAGTTGTGTAATTAGTTTTTGAGAGATTTATGTATTAAACTGCTAAAACTTGAATCTCTTCTTTAGTAATGACAAAGATTCCCCAGTCATCAGCTTCATAAAACATGGCATCTTCTCCCAGGAGAAAAATCAAGAAGAGCTTCACCACTTGCACCTCCCTGGACAGCAGGTCAAGGAGCCAACACCTCCAGCTCAACCACCAGGAAGGCCCACGTGAGCTGGGCAGGAAATGAGCTCACCTGACTGGGTGATTCCCAGCCCAGGGACAGCATCAGCTGCGGGCAGGAGAGTATCTTCTGCTAGCACCCTGGCACTGGAAGAATTGGGAACTTTACTTGATCTGACATAGTTAGATAGGTCTGTGTCACTGGGAAGGCCTTGCAAATAAAAGGTGCTCACAGGGCACCCATATGTAGGGGACTTAGGAAGGCTTGTTTAAGTCATAAACTGATTTGAATTGACTCATACCTCTCACCTTGTCTTTTTGACTCAGGTGCTTTGCGTTGTGAGACTGATACTAACAAGACTACGTTTTGTAGAAAAACAATTGTTCTTTCTGTATTGTTACTGTCAACTATATGCTGTTGATATGCTACATCTTTGCTTTTATCGCTTGTCTTTTACCTGCTTAGACTAAGGCCTGGCAGGTGCTATCAAAACAAATCTCAGAATGGTTTGCAGAGGGTTCAGGTGAATTACTGAAGACCGAGTCATGCCTCTGTGGCTGGATGCTGACGTGACTGGGACAGGGAGGAACTGGCAGGACTGGCTGCTTCTAATGTAGATGATACCTGGGTCATGAGAGAACATAAGCCTTGGGCTATTTTAGGAGCATATAAGGAATTAATTAAGTGTGTGGTGTTATACCACACATCATCTTACCTTCGTAAGAATTAGTGGAATTTGCTCAACCTATCCTAGTGTGGAACAACACACTGGGAGAAGAGTAGTTGAAACTGATGACTTAATGTCATAATGTGTTGAAGATGATTATAACATGGACAGGTTTTGTGCTTGTTCGACTAAAGATCAGCTCATCTTTGTCATGGCTTACTCTTCCACGTGGTTCCAATACAACCTAGCTTCAGTATAGGTGGTGTTGCACTCTGATCTGCTTCAACAGAGCTGTCTGCAAACTCCTATGTGGTCAATGGTACTCTTTATTTCTGTGGGATCTATACGTGTTAATTGGCGATACTTGTTTAGTTTAGTGGGGGGGGAAGTCTTGCATACCTCCGGAGCCTAGGAGTAGCCCGAAGACACACTGGAATTAGCTTATTCTGCTCCTCCAGAAATTTGGTCCTAAACTATAACCACTATAACCTGTGTGATAGGACTGTGGACTAATTCGTGGTTACCTGAGTCTTTTCTCCTTGAAGCAAATAGCTGTTCTAAGGAGCAAGGGGTGGCTGAGCACACTATTAAAGCTAATGACACCTGAGCTTCATTAAATTGTACTGCTTAAAACCAGGCCTATGCAATACAGCTTTAGGTTTGTCCCAGTCAAGCTGGTTCCTTCAGAAATTGGTTGGCATCTGTGCCACACCTGCTCTGGTGTGTTTGGCATAAGCTGTGCTGTACCTCCACAGTGTCCTTGGGCAAATGGCAGTCAAAAGTGTCATCTAGTTTTGCTTGCTATGAACTCAAACTGTAATCACAGCTGAAAAACAGTCTTCTCCAATAGCACTTACCATTTAGCACTTCTGTTCATATTGAATGCTTGAGTAGGTTGCCTAACAAGGGAGAAATGATTCTGACCTTTGCCAGTGCAAAAGGACAAAGCATATGGTAGCTGCGCTTGCAGGAACTGTATGTTGGCAGGGCAACAGCATCAACCACCCCTCTGTTTTCCCTCTGCAGGAGTTTTTTACCAACATAATGGTACACTTCAAGGGCTGGTTCTTCACCCCTTCCTTGTTCCAGAATGCCCTGCTCTGTTTAGGGCCATGCATCTGCAGTTACTTTGTATATTGAAGTGCAAAGTCTGATTATATGGCTGTGGCCTTTAAACTTAGTACTTGTATTTGCATGGTAACAGTCTATTCCAGGTCCAACATATCCTGTTGCTTCTTCTAAACTTCTTTGGGATTTAGGGTGGAAAGCAGGAAGATACAGTATAGCTGTGAAGGATTACTGTAGGCCAGTACCTTTTAACTTTAGCGCTACTTTAAGTTTAGTCTATGCCTGCTTTAGCAAGTGATGCAGCTCAGTGGGTCACATGCAGCATGAAAGAGCAGGTCCAGGACATGTTTTGGATTGTTTTTTACTTCAGATTTGCTCAAGTTTGATCCTACTGACTGAATGCTCTCTAGCAACTGAAGCACTTCTGGAAGCCATCTTCTAACTTGTTTTCACATGAAAGGAAACTAGTTTGTCTGCTCAGAGCTTGCTCTGCAATGTGAACCACAGCATCGTGCGTGGCCGCTCACCCATTCAAAATATCAGAAGTACATAATGGACAAGAACTTGTAATTTTCTTTAAACATAGTAATTTCAATAAAGATGTAGTAACCTAACACTGCTGCCACCTGCAGGATCAATAACAGGTCTACATTGCAAGTCTTCCCCAAGGCTTGGTGGCTGCTAAGCCTCTCAGGTAGTTATAGTAATATTTGCAGTACTTAAAAATTAAATTTCTAAGCAGCAAAAAGGTTGGATGTGTTTTTTCCTGTCAGACTGTGGCCTTCAGCAAATGTGGATGGCAAACAGCTTTCTACACTTGTCAATGCTGATACCGGGTAAGCACAACTGAAAAGGTACGATTCAGTTTCTAAGTCAGTCCATTTGTAGATGCTTTTATGAGCAGCCTTTTAAGTATGCCTTGAGTTAATGTTTTATATAAAATAGCTCTTCAGCCATAAACAGCTAACAACATTATCATGGTTAAACCAGGTAGGTTGATAATACATGTAGTGTGTTTGACTGAAACTGTTACTAATTCTCTTGGTGAGGCTTGAGGAATATTCCCAACATGCTGACAGGTGAGACTGGCATTGATTTTAGTGTTCTTTCCCTCTTAGTCTCTTGTTCTCGCTGATTTATGAAAGCTTTCCCAAAATTCTAACCATGGCTGGATTTCAAGCTTTTCCTGCTTTGCTGTTTGTTCCCACACATTCAAGGTCAGGCTGGACGGGGCTCTGAGCAACGTGATCTAGTTGAAGATGTCCCTGCTCATTGCAGGGCGTGGGACTAGATGACCTCTAAAGGTCCCTTCCAACCCGGACTGTTCTGTGTTTCTATGATTTTACATTTCAGTAATAACTGTCATTATTGTGAAGGAGAATTAGGAAAGGTGCTGGGTTCACCTCCCCCAGTGTTGTGTTCTTGTGAGTGTCCTTAAAACAAGCTACAGCCAGGTAAGACTAAATGTGAATATAGCGCAGCCCAAAATAAATCCCGTAAATCCCTTACATAAAGTACAATGATGAAATGTGGAGTACATGTTCACAACTTCATCACTGGATATACTTAAAGCCAAGGTAAGCATATGTATTTGCTGTACGCATCTCATGTTCTGTGCTTTGCTTTTCCTTAAAGCAGGTCAGTTCATGTGGACTGTGCCTGTTTAAACTTTTTTATTGGGGAGCTCAGTCCTGCAGCATGTATTTTGTCTCGTGCTTTGTCTGAAGTCTTGTCCAGTCTAATCTGTTACTGTTACACCATCACAATGTCATGTATTTGTAATATTGTGTAGAAGTGAAATCTAAGTAAAAGACTGCTGGTCTCATAACCATAAATGCAAGTTGGATCTAGCTAAGGAAAAATCCAAGTTCTGTCTATCTTCAAACATAGTCTTTTTCCACAAGCATTTGAGAAAGCTGTAGACAATTTGCATTGAGACAAGTGTAGTATCCCTTCCTTCCAGATGCTCAGAACTGTTTAGAACATCCTTTTGGAACACTGTTTGCTAGAAGTATGAATTTTCTTGGCTGGGTCTAATTAAATGTGAGTTTCTGTTATTTGGTGCTTAAAACCAATTTAGAAAGCAGTTTAAAAGTCATCAGCATTCAGATTGTATTTTTCCTTTTTATTTGTATGAATGATAAAGATTTGTACTTCCTAGGTTTAAGAACTAAACTGCTTCAGAATTCTAGCAGCGGTAGGGATCAGAAGTAATTAATAGTAATGCCTTGATGTTGGTCAATTTTTAAGACAATTCTTAAAAAAACCCCACAACCTTCCTCTGTGTCAAGTCTATTTTAAAAAAATGTACAAGCAATGGGATTCTGAGTATTTCAGACTCAGTTTTGGAAAATAATGCAAAGGGAATCTGTGTACTAGATCTCTGCCTTCTGTTTTCTAAGCATTAGTTCAGTGCTGAGGGCTGTATTTCCCGAGACATGATAAACTTTTTTTGTATGAAAGGACAGGAGTAATTTGCTGCAAGAAGAAAAAAATCAGTGGGGTTACAGTATGTGAAAAGGCCAATAAAGAATAAGGAAAGCTTCAACGGAAGCATTTTTACCCCAAGATGATGCAACAATACTACGCTTGTTACATATGTTGTGAGTCGCCTCCAGTTCATACAGCAAACATGTCAAAAGCAGTGACGAGGTATCGCAAAGAATAAGAAACGAAATGGAGGTAAGGGAGTCATTCTCTCCCTTCTGCAGCTTATGAATACCCTGGGCTAACATAACAAAAATGGTTATTTAATTTATAGTTCTGCAAACTTGGCATGGGACTTGTATTTAGGCAGTGCTGCCAAGTACTATTTCCAAGTAAAACATGCTGTCCTTGTGCCAGGTAGTGAGGCTTTCTTGGTATTGTCTCTTACCTTTGTATTCTCACTACGGCCCAGCATATCTCTAGTGCAGTATGTTGTAATTTCATGTTTGATTTGAGATAAAATTGTCTTATCTTTAAAATTAGTCTAAGCAATGCCACAAGACTCACTTCTTAATCATTGTTTGCAATTTTGTGAAATGATTACGGAACACAAATACATATAAAAGTGGGCTGAAAGCAAAGAGCAGTAGTTAGTTGTGAAACTGTAAGTAACAAGAGTCCTTGGGAGGCAACAGCATGGTTTGTTTTCTATTCAGCAAACTAACTGGCTGAGAAATATTTTCAGCCTTATTTTGCTGTAGCGCATAACATATATCCATATAACTACATACTCTTTTTATTTATGATAAAGCATTGCATGCTGCTTCTCTTGCTGGGTTGGAGGGAACATGCTTCCACCATCACATGCTACTGTTCAACAGCCAGAAATAAATAAAACCCCAGACCATTTGCAATGTATGTTAAATAATAAGCTGTATGATATTATTATATTAATTTTTGCTATAAGCTATTCAGTAGGATATACGTTTGCTTAGAATGAGCGCACATTATTGTTAAGCTCAGAATTTTTATTAACAAGTTCAGAAGAACCACAAAGGTCACGCTGATTTCAGTAAAACAGAAATCAATCTCCTTCAAATAGAACAGCTGCTAGGAATATGACCTAGAAAATCCTGAATGCTTTTAAAGATCTCGAAATACTGAGTTCCCCATCCTCTAGGGATTAGTATGAGCCCATTTCTTCTATATTATAGTCCATTTAATGCTCCACTTTAAAAAACCCTCATCACCAGCGAATATGGCTTCTTGAACAACCTCACTGGTAATTAGTTGTAACATTGCACATTGTAAATTTTCTCTTAAAAAAACCTAAAACAACAAACCACATCAGGCTTCAGATTTCCCCGTTTGATGCTATATACAAGACCGAATATCGATTACAGAGCAATGCATCAAAGGAGAAGAGCTCACACCAGACCCGCTTGAGCATGCCAGCACTGTTCTCGGAACAGACAGCTTCCATCCGTGTGCGATAACAGTTCAAATGTCAGAAGTGGGAAAAGTCCATAAAGCTATATACAGCACAAGCCATGTCTCTGACCACCTACAGAAAAAGCTATACCTAAAACAGGCAGCCCCAGCACTGCATAATGCAAAGGTTGATACACAAAGTATGAACTCCACCTGCCACAAATCATACAACTGCATAAGTATACAACATCTTTTGAGCCATTCTCATATTTCCACTGCTCTGATAAATAAGCGACAAGTTAAAGGCAGTATCTCTTCTCAAGTCTGTCTGATCAGCTTCTATGCCCTGTAAAAATAATTATTAAAAAAAGTTATCTATATGCAAAAACAGTGTAAAATTTAAACATGAGTAGCAATTACAGTGGAATCAAATCACATTCGTGGTTTATACAGGCTTTCTGTTGTATAGAAACAATAGTATTCCTTGTGCCCTCCCTCTTTAATGAGTTTCCACTTGTTTTGAGTATGTAATTATATAACTCTTTGGTGACTGACAACATTAGCTGTAAATTAGATAGCCAACTCATAAAATAGGAAAGTACTGTCTGAACGTGGCTTTGTGTGCAAAGTATTTGTTTCTATAATCAGAATGTGAATGCTGCCTCTCTCTTCTACCTGGTCCCAAAAAGCTGCTTTGAACTCCCAGCGCTGACTGACACCCATGTTGCTGACTTTGCCAACCCTCCCGTTTGCTAAATACAATTGTAATTTTTCTACCTACCCACGCCAAAGCTAGGCAAACACTTCCCCTTATACTGGGCTTGTAAATGTATGACACATCCATTAGGATGACCTAATACCGATCAATTAGAGCCAAAACCATGGCTCAGATTCATTTAGGCATTCTTAATAGTGGTTCATACTGCTCCAGCATAGGTGAGTATATAGAACTTCCAGTTATAACTTATTGCATGTAATATACATAAAGTTCAGCTACTTATTCAGGTAAAGTTGTTTAGCAACCCTTTTTGCTGCTATTTCAGCCCATTAGTCTTTGAAATTACCACATGCACAAGTGCATTACCGGGTGACAATCAGATCTGGGCTTCCAATGACAGGGAATGACAATACAAATTAAAGGAAACTCAACTACACAGATTTTATGTACCTATTTTAACTACGGCTGAGAAATTATTGACATTGACCTGACTTTATTCTCTGTACATAACTTAGAAAGCTACAGAACCTCTAAGGTGAGAGGAGGAAGTTCAAGGACTCTTTGGTAGTAGTGGATTGCCAGGTGCAGTAATCCCAGCTGGTGAAGGCCACGGCCAAGGTTGTAGAAAGACTCCTGACATGGTCCTCGCAGGTCCAAGTACCGATGAAGGAAGGAGAATCCCTGTACACATATTATGCACATATGTGAATGTTCCCTTGACGAAGATGGCAGTAAAATACTCTGGAGAACAGGTGCCTAAATTTATGTATTTAAACTTTTGATTCATACTTCTGCACAAAACCACATGTAAGTTGAAGGCAAAAAATAAGTCGCATTGGATTGTTGAGACCATGAAAAGCGTGCTCTGTCAGTCTCGCTGCCATGGGTAACAACGGGTAGCTCTTTTTTTATAAATCGAACACACAGTTATTTAGTGACTTCGGCACTAACTTGCTAAATACGTAAGTATATATCTATGTCTTTAATACACACACACACAAGACTGGTTCACGTTCAGAAGAGCAGACCAGCTGGAAAAACATACAGCCAAAGGACAAGCTAGAGCAAGATCTTATTTTTCTTTAAAAAAAATCTGTAAAAGATGACCCTCACCCACTTTTTTTTAGTTGTTTTTTTTTTTTTTTTAAAGGAGAGTGGGTAAAAAACCTAAACCTTCATTCTCTTTCCTTCACTCTCTGCCTTGGATAGTGGCATGAAATAGCTTAATTCTACAACTTTTCAGAATTCTACAAAATTTTGAACTCCATGAAATACATATCAAAGTATTATTTCTGGAATGCAAGCATATTCTTTTCTTCATCTTGTGTCACATATAAATATTTACTGCAATACCAGCTATCAGGGAAATTACCAGTATATCATCTTATAAAGTGGCCAAAAATAACCATCACTGAATAAGGGCTTGAAAAATTTGTATAGCCTAAGCAGGCAGCAAGAGTTCATGTCCCTTCTTGAAGCCAGCAGATGTTTTACTGCCAAGTCACCAGAAAAGTCACCACTTGAAAGGAAACTCATACCCTGCAATTTCAGTGCTGTGCAAATTTAAATTCAAATCACTCTGTGGTATACTTGCTAATTTTGCTTTCAGTTTGAAGTTAAAATATATGCTCATATATTTAAACTATATGACTAGCAGAATCCCAGGCATGCATAATTTTGTTGCCAACCTTAGTCTGAATACCCCCTCCTATGTGGTTCAGAGAAGCAGGACCCAGCAGGGACTACGCGCCTATTTGGGTGCTGATGTCCCAGAAGACGTAAAACAGGGCAACACCCAAAGTGACAGTGACCAGGCAGCGGTGGAACAAACTAGTCTCGTTTATGCGCTGACATGCTGTAAAGTGGGAGATGCGATTTGTTTCTCATCTGTAGGATGCCACTGCCTGCCAGCTTGCTGAGTTACGGACTCTTCACAACTCAAGGTTTGTTATGACGCTGTAAAGATGAATGGCATTAGACCAGAGCTACCTCCCGTCCAGAGCAAAGGGAAAGACAGAGGCATACAGCGTTTTACATTAAAATGCCGTGTTTCATCTGACACTGAAGGATTCCTGGGGGAAACTCAGAAGGGATACATAGAAGAGGTGAATTCAGAAGGGAAAAATCAAGGATACAACTTTTTCATCCTCCCCCATGGATTTCATTTTGCTGCCACTTTGGAATGTGATGATTCTGTTGTAAATAGAGGACTTTCTTTCTAGGGACCATGTTGGTAATCAGAGAAGATAGTTCCTTCAACATGAGGAATTAGTTCAGACACAAGCGGCTAATGATCATAATTAAGGTTACCTGTATGTCACTGTGGTTGAACTATTAATCAACTCAATAGGAGCACAAAAGGATGTAAAAATACCAAATATAGTAAGCAAGAAATGAGAAACGAGAAACGAGAAAGCAGGAAACTGTGTCACCACAGGGTAACATAAATAGGACATTCTTCAAGTACATCATAAAAGACGAACATAGCAGCCCAGGTAAGAAAGGCAGGTTGATTACAGAAAGTAGTACATAAAAATATTAAGATTAGGCCAAAGTTTGCAAGTTCAAAATGTCTTCAGTTGGATACTGACATAATTGGTCTTGTTTTGGAGTAGCTGAGGACCTATAGCTTTTGTCAAAATCAGTGCCAGCTACAGCTTTTCAGGAATTTCAGATGAGAGCTCAGGATCCTCACCATATTCTGCTGAGTCTGAGCTTAGTGGCCACAGGAATTAAAAGGCATTTCAAGTTAATGAAAACACTTGGTGGAGAGTAGAGGAAATTACTTTCAAGATTCAGTTTGTGAATAATCAGCCTGTGGTTTGTAACTGGATCTGGCAGATGAAGGAAAAATGTGAGTAAGGAAGCCGAAGAATTGAGGGTAGCCTAAACTGGAGTTCACAAGATCTTTACAGAGAGAGAGTTATAAGGGGGAAGAGAAAAGGAAGACGGGAGAAAAAAACATTTCCTAAGTCTGTAAAGTTTGCTTCAACAATGCAGTTTATGAGACGTGCATGAAGGGCACGTAGCATAGATTCTACTTTACAGCACTTGTCCAGAGCAAGGCAGGGCAAGAAGAAAAATCTGCAAGAAAATCCAGACTACAGCCATCAAGACTGAAATTAGTAGTATCTTCACAAAGAGTTGGCAGCTGCTAACATCTATGTGAGTAATCATTGTATACACAGCAGAACAAGCTCCACAACTAAAAGAAGAGGAGATTCAGATGGGTATAACTATAGTTCAAAAGCATACTTGCCTGCGTTCATGTTTGGTCACTTCCCTCTTTTGAAATGCCATATTAGTTATTAAAAGTTATTTAAACAGAGTACGTTGTATCCATAACCGTCTGCAAGATACAAAGCCAGGAAACACTATAGGTAAAAATAATTGCACTAACTCACCTGTACAAGAAGAGCATGCCTTTTCAACACGTATTTCTGAGAAGCCATGTGGATGAAAGTCAAGCCAATACAAAGACTGTAGAGAGGTTCATCTGGGTTTGCACGAAAGGCTTGCACATACTGTCCTAAAAGCAAATAACCGAATCAGGATGTTTGCTGTGAAAAGCATTCCTTGAGAATTTAAGAGCAAAAAACAAAATCTTCAAATTACAAGTGTGAACTAAGAAAAGAAACAGTTTAATATACCCATATCAAAATACACAAGAAAAAAAATAGGAAAGAAAATTTTATGTTTTGAGCACTCCTTGGGTTCTGAAGGAAAAATGCAAACCATGATGTAAAAAGGTAAGCAGAAAAGAACTGGACACAGAAGGCGAACATAGTCCTTGCTGAGATTTATATCCTGGCAGCCACACATCCTAAGCGTGACGTTTGGAGCGCTTGACTGAAAGCAGTAGGTTTACGTCAAAGGCCTGCTTAAAACATCCAACCAACTTTATTTCCTCTTTAAATTCCTTCTTATTCTTTATTACCACTGGCCTTCAATTATCTTTGCAAGTTGGTTATATTTGCAATGTGTGCTAAACTTGAAACACACCAGCTTGATTTTTCTTAGGAAAAGTCTTTAGTGATGCTTTGATTTGTGTACAAAATAATTAAAGCACCAGACTGACACTGTGACACCACCTATAATTTTCTGACGTATTGAAAAAATCACTTCAATAACTCTTTCTGTGAAAAAACCATTCATTATATTTGTTAATATTGGAATATTAATGACATTACCAAGAGCATGCTTGAAACTGCCAGATACAAATGCATTATGCCCGTTTAGGACACACAATGCATGATTATCAGGATTCTTCAGCATTAAGCGGAGACAAAAGCGATGGTGACGGACATCCTGAGATTGCATAGTAACTTGATTGAATATGTTCCATAGCTGAGGTTTATTGACATTTTCCATTACCATGATTCTACAGAATGAAAAGTATACAAAAAATTAGTAAATACTATAGTAAATGCTGTATCTGCAACACAACCTCAACAGCTTAGGGAAGAGAACAGAGAAGAGACACTCAAGGAGCAGGTCAGAGGCTGAGGCAAAGTTGAGAGTGAAAGACAGAACCAACAGTTCTGGCCAAATCAACAAAATGCATTATGCATTTTTTTGAACGAAAAGCTCTTTTAGTTTCAATAGCCTTATCTGTTTTGGCGAAAGCTGGACAGCATCAGCCTGCCTCCTTCAGTGATACTTGCAGCAGTAGGACTACAGCCTCAGCGGAAGCAACTACAGAAGAGAGTGCTCTACCTCCTCAGTACCCCACCTGATATAGTTGTACGCTTTTCTGAAGTTCTTGTCCAGAATCGCCGCAGAGAGCCCAAAGTATTCCAGCTCCTTGCGCTTTTGTCTATCATCATAAAACGAATAATATTCCAATGAGGAATCCACTAGTAGCTCTGCCTCCTTGTAACGGGAGAGGTCACATAAGGAATATATTGCCTTCAGGAGGAGGTTCCACCAGTCATCTTTTGTCAGAACGCTCGTGAGAACAGCAAAAATCGCTAAAAATATTCAAGTCAGTAAATTGAGAAAATTAAAACGAGAGCTAAACTTTTTTAAAAACAAAAAGAGTGCATACATCAAACTGATCTTTTCAAAAACACCTCAGCATTAATAGGTAAAATAAAGATAAAATATTTACTCTTTTCAGTTTAAGTGTCATTTGTAAAATACTAGCAAAAAAACAGACAAAACTTGGGGACAAATGGCAAGAAATACACACAGTTTAAGTTGTAAACATACTCCATGAAGGCATTAAAGTTACTCTTCCTAACCCACCAAACGGCTCTTAAAAAGCTGTAGTGTGGCTCAACTGAGTCTGGGCCAGTTTAAAAAAAAAAAAAAAAAAAATCACACCACTTTTAAAACATGTACTTCTATTACGTTCTAGATTTGCATGTATTATATTTGCACTGAGGAGAATGTTGGCCTATATGATCTCTAGAGGTCCTTCTCAATCTAAATTATTCTGCAATCTTACTGTTTTTCTCGGAATGAGGATTGTTCACTTAAGTTATATTATCTTCATTTTTGCTGCCTTCTTTGTCCTAGAAATAAAGTGATGTTAACATGAACTGCATGGACTTGGCATGCAAAATAGTAATGTTTAATTCATTTTTCAGAACTAAGGAGTTCATCTTGTTGCTTTGGTTTTAATAAACATTTGTTACCTTTCGCATCGCAATTTGCTGTCTCTTGGTCGTCATTGTCAGAAATTTTATCCCTTGACACCTTAATAAGATAGAGGTGTCTCTCTCCAGATTTGGAACTAGATATCAAACACACCTGAGCTCTGCTCATTGCTACCTAGAAACAAATTTAAGGGCAGCATTTCAGATTACATTAATACATGCTATAACAAAGGCAGCTTTATGGCTGATCCGTCTTGCTCACGTTGCATGCAACTTAGAAACACCACAACAGAGCAAGATCCTGAGAGAGAACATTCCCAAGAGGAGTACTATCTCTACACTGTCTCATGCTCCGGTGCAAACTGGGCTATGCAAAAGAAAGACACAAACTCTTTAAATGACTTAGAAGACTTTTCCTGGGATTGGAACATCCCTGTATATACTGAAATCAAAACTATTTGCACAGAGGCATAACAAGAACAGTGAATGCCTTACTGTATCGGTTTCAGAAATATGTGGATAGTCAGCTATTCAACCAGTGTAACACAATAGTAATGGCTCTGACCAGATGGATAAAATTGAGGTCTACTAAATATTCCCCTCCCTACTTAAAAACAAACAAAAACCAATTAACACAAAACCACTACCACGGTATTTACTGGCAAAACAAATTCTTTGGTCGTTTTATCACAAGAAAACATTAAAAGAAAAATTAAGAAATTCAAAAGAAAATTGCTGAAATAGAAGCCAGTATCAACATTTCAAGAAAGCACTATGCTGACTGCTAAAAAGTTAAGAAGCAGCTTTAGTATTCTTTGTACACTGAGAAACAGGGAGTTCAAGTCACTGTATTAACAACTACACGCACAAGGGGTTCTCTGTTCTGAACACTACAGGCAGCAACACCAGTATCACAGATTCCCTGCAAGATTATTATCTAACAAAACTATGAAACCATTTGCATATAAAATCCACTAGCTTTCCTCCCGAGTTTATTTGTCGATTGTCTTAACCCAACTCATAGCTGCCCAACTCAGAACTCATATACTGTTAAAGCATAGCTGCAAAGATCGGCTTACCTTCAACAGCATTGCCAGCATCGTCAGTAAAGTGTCTATGTAACCATACATTTTGCCTTGGGAATACAAGAGTGTCGAACGATGTAGGAGTAGCTTTAATTCCTAGATAATACTGAACATTAGTATTCAAACTCTTACACAGAGAGTGAGTTTATAAAACAAAATTTTGACTGAGGACAGTACTAACAGGATTGTAGAAGCTTCTAGAAAGCTGTAAGAATCTTAGCAGCAGCAGGTTAAGATGTCCCTAAACTGCCCTGCAGTAGTTACTATTTCAAATTCTCAATTTTCAGAGAAATTCAGCATAAATCTTACCTATAGCAAAGGTGCTGCTGGAGAAGGGATATAGAACCTTTGCTATGCTGTGAGTTATAATCAATAGAGGCCAAACCATGTAGCTCGTATGTAGTAACTGCTGGTCAACTTGAAGCAAAGTAATTGGTGTCCAGACTGGTTCTCAGTGGCCCAGAGGCTGTACATCACACAGACGTGATCAGGTGGGAAAGAGGAAATACTGACAAAATGGTCAGGGAGAAGGAGCCATGAGGACCCATCCCTGATACTCGGCAGTGAATCACTCGCTGCGCTCTGAAGGCTCACCCTGCTGTAGATAAGTAAGTCTCAATCCCTGGTCCTATAAAGCTGACGTCTTTGACCACTACCATAGCTTAGCAGAACAATATATCCTAAACTGGAAGCATAGAACACTTTACCCACCTGCTGGGCAGCATTAGCATCCTGAGCCAGTGTGTCTGGATCATACATTGGTTCCAGAGCCTCCAGAGCTTTCTCAGGTCGGCCCAGCTGCTGCTGAAGTGTTGAAAGTGAGATTCTTGCATCCAGATGCAATGGAGCAAGATCAACAACTTTGGCATAGCTCTCTGCGGCACGCTCCATGTGTCCCAAAGCCTTCAAGCACTCTAGAAGTACCATAAACAACACAATACACTTAAATGGCAGAAAAAGAAGATTTCAAAGCTTGCAAAATAGTTAACATACTTTTCAGATACTTCTTCAGTTAAAACCACCCAAAAAATTTGTTATTAAAGCGAAGATATTCAGAAACATGTACTGATGCATCCACAGTTTCACTTAAAGCATCACCAGTTGACACAGGATGGAATGCAGAATAGATGCTGTTTCACTTACATGAAAATAAAGTATTTTTAGGTGAAGCAAATTTCAATCTATACGAAGAACAAGAAAATGCTCCATGTCAGTGTTCTCATAATAAGATCCAATTATGGTTTTGCAAATATTAATTATCATTCAACATGTGAATCTAAAATTCCAGTAATCTTAGATAAAGGTCCCTGGAAATGCTCATCACTGTATTATCATCCCTCAGTACCACCTGCTCTTCTCACCCGCATGCCGAAGCCAGACAACAGCCAAGTTGTATCGTTCTGAACAGACAAGGGAACTCAAGAGAGGCAGTGCTGAGTTGTATTCTCCAACATCCAGAAATGCCTCTGCGACATCCAAATACAAGTCGCCCATTTCTTCTGGATTTTGTTCCACCAGAGTGGTCAAAAGAGGCTTTAAAAAAAATGCACAAAACACTACAAGCACAAATTACCAATGAGAACATTTCCTTAAGATACAGTTATTGGAAGCTTACATTTTTATGCAATGATTTTTATTCTACTTCCATTCTGAACTACACTTCTTTTATTTAAATATTAGTTTAAAGGTGAAAAATAAAGATATGAATTTCAGAATTCCTGAAAAAGCCACATTTTTCTATTCTAGACAGTTCACATCCAATGGGTGAAAGTGCGCATCAGTGAGGAGTGCTCTTCATGAAAGAACAGTCTTCAGATTTAGTAGGGCTTTAAAACAAAGCGAAGATGTGATCCTCAGTGTTCAACAGCTTTGCCCTGTGGTCCTGGGCCTTCCACAGCACGTAGGCTGTGATTTACTGTGCTTTAGTAACACTTCCACTAGAGGCATAATCTATAAGGACGAAAATAGTATTTCTGCTACGAGAGGTTTGCTAGGTGTCTCTCAGAGTGGGAGGGAAGCAAAAAGAATCTCCAGAGCGCTCTCAATGACCTCAGTCATACAAAGACAGGAAAAATTACTTGCTTTGGTAATTTATTAGAACATCCCCCAACTTCTGAGTTGGTTTCTACTTACACTGAGCGGCTCTAGGATGTTCAAGTGAACCAAGCATACCATCAGCTTGACCGTGATGTCTATGGGAACACCCTCAGGTATGCAGCAGCTGACCTTCTCCACAGCTGTGAGAAGATAAAGAATTTCTTTCTGAACCCATAGGCTTTAACAAGCACTTCACAAGCTCCATATCCCATATCCAGGCCATGTTCAGCTCCAGTGAAGAAAATACATCCTCATCAACGCTAGCAAATGTTGGTATAGGCCTGGCCTCTCCCCTTCTGTTGTATCTTTCCCAATAGTTGGAACAACTTCTTTCTACTGTCTCTGATCCTAATAATTTCATCTGAAGTATCAAGTGCTGTCAGTCTGCATCGATTTCAACAGCAGGATCCCATAGGATGTGCTTAGAGCCTTCACCCTCTTAAGACGTCACTGTTTAATAAAGCTTTGCTTCAGCAATTTATGCACCCGTACCCGCTTCGCCCTGCTTTCTGAATGAAATACCCTGTTATTAAGGTATTAGTTTTTATTAAGCTAAGTCCTATGTACCAGGGATCTGGCTGGGTACGTTGTTAAAAACAGTTCACTACAGAACTTTACACAACACATAGAATCACATCAATTCACATCGCATTCAATGCAATCTGACACGAATGCAAACACAAGACGAAGGAGTTACCCATGACAATGCTAGCAAGTTGAAGGTCACACAGTAAAACTCCATTATCATATTTCCTTCACATGCCATCATGACACCTCCTTAATAGCCTGTGTTTAAGTTCTCCTTCACCTTATTTCTTACACCAGACATACAAAGGGTGATTGCAATAACCTGAGGAAACCATGAGTTCCAACATAAGGCTCCCCTTTACCTTCTACATCCACATCCAATTACTGCAAATCACAATATGCAGATTAATTAATCATTCAACACCTGGGGGTGCTGGCTGACAGCCGGCTAAATATGAGCCGGCAGTGTGCCCAGGTGGCCAAGAAAGCCAACAGCGTCCTGGCCTGTATCAGAAACAGCGTGGCCAGCAGGAGTAGGGAAGTGATTGTGCCCCTGTACTTGGCACTGGTGAGGCCGCACCTTGAATCCTGTGTTCAGTTTTGGGCCCCTCACTACAAGAAGGACGCTGAGGTGCTGAAGCGTGTCCAGAGAAGGGCAACGAAGCTGGTGAGGGGTCTGGAGCACAAGTCTTATGAGGAGCGGCTGAGGGAACTGGGGTTGTTTAGTCTGGAGAAGAGGAGGCTGAGGGGAGACCTTATCGCTCTCTACCACTACCTGAAAGGGGGTTGTGGCGACGAGGGTGTTGGCCTCTTCTCCCAAGTAACTAGTGATAGGACGAGAGGAAATGGCCTCAAGTTGTGCCAGGGGAGGTTTAGATTGGATATTAGGAAAAATGTTTTTACAGAGAGAGTGGTCAAGCATTGGAACAGGCTGCCCAGGGAGGTGGTGGAGTCACTATCACTGAAGTGTTCAAAAAACGTGTGGAGGGGCACTTTGGGACATGGTTTAGGGGGCACGGTGGTGTTGGGTTGATGGTTGGACTTTCTGATCTTAAAGATCCTTTCCAACCTTAATGATTCTGTGATTCTCTGCACATCTTACTACCCAGCATGAGACTATTCACCTACTGATAAACTCTTACAAAATGAAAAATTTTCTTTCAAAGTGGGTAAGCTCTGGGAGAATGCTGTTGGTTTTGGTGGCTGGCTGGGTTAGAAGTAAGTTCTGAGTAAAGACAACAGTATACAAGAAACCTTTTCTAGAAAAAGCCCTATTTCTCTGGTGTTAGAAATCTTTCCCAATTTTTGTGATTGCAACGTGGTTCCTGAGCATATGATCGGTTCATAGACTTGTACAAAATTAAAAAGTTACGTTACTTACCTGCAGCACTGGATTCAGCAACTGGATGACTTTGGTCGTCAGCCATTGCCTCCTGGTTTTCCTGAGGTTCTGCCACTGCCCCTGTATCTTTTTTAAAAAGGTTAACAGATTACCCTAGTAGCACCAGCTAAGCCAAAAGTTATTTGCTTTTGAATTCATAATCGATTGGTAGCTTACTCTGAAACGTGGACTTTATTTTTTTTTTTTTTGAAGGACAGCAGAGCAGGAAGCATTAAAAAAAGATATAAAGCAAAAGAGGGTGGGGAACCAAACTCCTGGGTAGTTTAGAAGCTTTGTTTTAAGAAATTACATACCCCAGGTAACATGGCAACACTGTGTTGTAATTCCTAGACTCATTATCGTTTTGCTTCTTATAACTTACGTCTTAAAAGTCTCCATCAGAACAATTAGTCATTGATCAACTGTATTTTTACCTGGTCCATTAAAGCAAAAAGGCAACAGAAATACCTTATACATTGGGTTTGGACCAGATTGCTGAAACAACCAACCAGTTTAATCACAGAACAGACTGCTTATGGAATTGGCATGCTGTGATCATTTCACAGCCCAAACAGACATTTTCAGACTTAAGCAATGACTTCCACAAAGCAGGTTTCTCAAAGACAACCTACTTCATTCAATTACAAGCTAATATCCCTAGATTTGTATATCCCAAAACATTTAAATGTTTAATAACAGAAGTAGGGTTTATGAAGAATATTAGTCTCAAGTCAAAGGTTGATATTCTTAAGTATAGATGCCACTAAGCTTATCTAATTTTTTTCAGAAGCTATTTAGCTGGCAGAAATAAGTGGTCTGATGTGATCACTCAGAGGAATGTTTAGAACTTTAAAAGGCTTCCAGTTGCCTGGAGAGCAGTCCTTGTCCTTAATGAGTCAGCAGGGCTAATTGAACATCAGACTAACTCCTTATAGAAAGCCAAGGTCATGCCATGTAACTCATTAAAAACACTGAAAAGTTTCAAAAGAGAAAAGCCTGTCAACATGCATCAAAATATACCCATGAATCGAAAAGGTAACGGAAAGAAAGATGTCCTATTAAATGAACAGCAGGGTCATACTAACCGCTTGTTAGCTACTTACCTTTTTTCTCCTCGGTTGGACTTTTTTCTGATACTTTCTTTTCAAGTACAATTCCTGCAAAATCCGTAATAACCTAAAACAGACGAATAACTCAGATAATTTTAAAGATTTAAAGGATATATAGAGTATCCAGCCCACATGGCAGTTATTTTAGACATCACAAAAGTTATCAGAAGAACAGCTGCATTCATTTCACATGGGGTTAGTTGACTGGTATTGAGTTTGGTCACCTTATGTCTTTGTCCAGTATTTTTGGACTACTTAGATGATCCAATCAATATCTCTTTAGGAAATGCAACAGTTACTTTCACCACAACTAGAAAAGTTTTTAACCTTTATAGCTTCTTTTAGTGCCTTTTGGGAGATCGAAAAAGAAAGCAAAGCACCAGGTAAACTGCTAAGTCTCCACAGATCTTTCCAAAGTGCTCCAAGGATTCCTCAGCCTAATACACAGCGAGGAAACTGTATTGCTTGTCTCAGTTAAAAAAAAAAAAAATTTAAATAAAATTCGCAGCTACATACAGACATTTTACAACAGCCCTGGTCACACACATCATGACCTCAATAAACTAGTATAATTCAATACAACACCTAATTTAAAAAATAGAAACCAAAGCCAGACAATTCAAGACATTCACTTGCCAATGGGGAGCTGTGAGGGGAGAAATGCAGAAGCCTAAAGGAGTGTTGGTCTCAGACCCAATGCAGTTCAGTATTTTTGTTCATGAATAGAAAAGAAATACTTAAGTCATTACTGTTGCCAAAACAAGAGTGACAAACACAAAGTACATGGCCCTTCAAGGAACATACCAGATGATTGTATTAAGGTAATTCTTTTTTAAAGGCTCAGTTTACCGGCTCAAATACAGATTCAGCTATCCAGGAACAAGAAACACCATCACAGGAATAGACCCAAGAAGAACCATCAAGAAGAAACAGAGGAACAGCTCTATGACCGAGTACTGTATTAATAAATCTGGCAGCTAAATATTGTGTACATAAAATTGACTGTTTTGAGTTTTAAAATGGGAAGAAGTACAGAGAAGGATCAGAGGAATTGTCTGCTGGCTCATGATGCTTTGCACTGACAGAGAGAGATCTAAATAAAATCTTAATAAGAAAAAAAAGAAAAAGATGTAATTTAATAGCAGCAAGTAAGAATGTTCACAAGTCCCAACCAATAGTGTCTCTTCAATCTATCTTGGAAAATATAACAATGGCCAGATACTAAAGTCCTTTCTCTCAAAGCCAGACCAAATCAATACAGAAACATGCCTCAAAAGTGAGGATTAAGAACTGCTACAACAAATCAGGAGCAAATAAGTGATCTTCTGCAATTCGTGATCCCTTAGAGTCAAGATGTATTGTCTTTCTGGAATTTATGATTAATACATAAGTTACTAGTTGCAACACAAGTACGCCAGATAAAGCATGAGGGTCTGCATTTGAACCATTAGACCACTCAGTGTCACCCTTCTAACCTCCAGCTTAGAGAATGCCCTTTGCCTGGAACGGCATACAAATCTATCAGCCCCCAACTTACTCAATCAAGCTGTTAATTTCAATGCTATTTACTACAGAACTAACAGAAAGCAATCTGTATCTGATCAGCTCTATCACTATAGAAAAATGACCATATTTAAGCACCGCAGGAATATAAACTGTCCATCCTGACTGACAAAGAGGTGCTGAACACAGTATAAAAATACATTTAATTCTCCATACCGCCAATGCTTTGTCATACTGTTTGGAAGAAATATATAGTTCAGCTGCGATGTTAACATCTTCCATGGAGACAAGGCTCTGGTGTTTAGTAAAGGCTTCTTCTATTATTTCAATGGCAGAGGTCACATCATTGGCTTCATAATAACTCCTATAAAACACAGATATGAGACACTAAGTATTTGAGATAACTGACAATATGTGCTTTCATAGAATCACAGAATCATTAAGGTTGGAAAAGACCCTTAAGATCATCAAGTCCAACAGTCAACCCAACACCACCATGCCCACCAAACCATGTCCCAAAGCGCCATATCCACACATTTTTTGAATGCGTCCAGTGATGCTGACTCCACCACTTCCCTGGGCAGCCTGTTCCAATGTTTGACCACTCCTTGAACACTAGCAAAAGGATTTTCATATTTCTTTTATTTTTGCATATTAGCAAATAATTTCATTATTAGCAGGACTAAGTTACAAAAGACAATGAGAAAGAGGGTGGTTTTTTCTTTCCTTACAACTGTTGACAAGTTTTATGTATTTTAAATAATTACCCTTTTTTTCTCCCCTATATGCTACTACATAACTGGAGTTTCATCATAATATCCCCCCACCTTGAGCCAGGTTATCAATAATGTATCGCATTAAACTGGTTTCAGAAAAATCTTCAATAGAAATATTGTTACGATACATGTCCTTGCATTTTTTTGGTGCATGTCACAATCACGAAGACCAAATGACTTAAAACTGTTTTGAAACAGGCCAATAACAGCATTCTACAAGTTATGCATGAGAAAGTTGAGATATAAAATAGTTAAACAACTTACTAAAATCTATGGTCAGAGAGCTACACACTTTAACCACAAGCCTTCTCTGTCTCAGGCAAGCTTCTATGACTTGATCTGCTCTCATTAGCAGAAAAGGGGAGGCAGATTTCTACTTGGTCCAGAAATGAATCACAAATGACAGATAACTACATTCTGTTGCAGATAGTTTGTATTTCAACTTGAATACTTTGTTTCATTCTGATTTGCTGGCAATAAGGTTTCCAGGTCTCTAGTTACATTATATAGATTAAAAATGTGCTGCATTTGTATGCAATTGTATACTATTGGTATTTTTCCGGTAAACGGTATTTGCATTTTGTTCTCTTACTCTAAGAGAATGCAACACTTCTACGCTGACACATTGATCCTACACAGGATAATTCCCACATGTCAGGCTTTGGAAACATTGCAATAGTTGAGGAGTGCATGCTTGTGTGTGGGTCACCCGCGGCAAAAAACAACCTGCATTCCTTCATTTCAGCTACATACCCAGCTTGAATCAGCTGCAGAGCTTATTAATACCAGTTTTTAAGAAACTGTGGAAAACCAAATCACAGTATTTTTAAATCCAACTTACTTTGCCATGTCTCTAGCCAACTGCATAAAGCGCTCTCCATCAGAGGGAGAGAGGAGATTCAAAATCCGCCTGTAGCCATCCATAGCCATCTTATGTTCCCCCAACTGCTCATACAGGCTTGATCTCTCCCATAGGTAACGCACATTGGTTGGGTCGTATTTCAGAGCTACGAGAAAAAGCAAAAGGCAACAATGGATTTCACATTCATTTCCCTGACTAGATGAATGTTAACGGACATACGTAAGCTTTTTGTAAGAAAAGGGCATTCTATGTTAAAGAATCATGAATCTTTTACCAAAATCTGGACAGAGGTACCAGAATCTTAGCAAACTGCAGCAAGCTAAATTAGAAAGCAGAAGAAAACAAAATTATTGTCATTAGCACATAACATTTATTTTAAAATATTAAAATGGTTGCTACTCTACCTTTTGTGTAGCAGAAAACAGCCTGTTTAATATTGTCCTGTTCCAGTGACATTTCTGCGAGTCTAACCCATTCCTCAGTATCACTAGGATTTAAGTGAGCTGCAATCAGTTCAAACTGTAACGATTTCTCCATATCACCCTGGTCTTCATAGATCATGGCAAGAGTAGAAAATGGCTCATGAGCAAGAGGAGCTGTGTAAAGACCAAAAAAATGATTAAGAACTATTGTTTTAAAACCACCTTGAAAACAAATAACTTGTCTTTCTGCAAACGACAGATATCAGAATTATATGAAAGATCAACATTGCTCTGTTTTAGTTCAGAAAAAACTTGCAGACAAGCTTCCAATTCCTTCTTAAAAATTATTACTCAGCCTGACTAAACCTAACAACAACCATTTATAGCATTATTCTACACTGCAAGTCATGCTGATGTTTATACCTTGGTTCTACAAAGACAATAAAAGCAAAATGTGTTAAGCTAAAGAAAGGTCCAGGCCTCTGCAGAATTAGGATGCTAGTTTCTTTTTATAAGCAAAATAATAAAGGAAATGCACTACATATTCTTAATTCCACACTACTTATATAGTGACATTGTACTGAGTATTTTGATCAGAGAAGCCACACTGAATTTTACAGATGCACATGGTAATTTTACCCCATCCTTAAAGCCAAAATGTTTTACCACTCTGACATACCCTGTCGAATGATTTCCATGCACATTAGAATAGCCTCCTCACGCTCTCCTCGAGCAAACCTGATATTGGCCTCTCCCATCAGACCCCTCAAGGCACGAGGGAGTTTGCTGCGAGGTCTTTTCTCCTAAATGGAAAAGGGATATTAGTTCTACCAAGGATTCAGTTGTGCCCAAATTCAGGAGATGTGAGTCACGCTTGTGTTTAACACAACCTAGTAAAAAGTTTTTTAAGTACTAACAATATTAAAATGACCAACCAAAATATTTTATAATTTTCATAACAATTATCAAAGTTACGACAGAGTAACTCTGATACCTAACACAAACACAATCTGGACACTGGAAAAACTCACTTCATTACTCTCTGAAAACTTTCAAAAATAATCTACAGTACTTTTCTAAAAAACAAAGACAGGCAACACCAACATAAGCAGAAGTATCCTACACAGAATTATTTTCAGGCAAGTTTCTCAGCAGGCAGCTAAAAATCACACAAACTGGCATTTATACACTATGCTTCAGGAGGTACAGGGAAGTTACATGAAAGTTTAATACTTGCTTTCATCATTTTCTTGGTCTCTCGATTAAGTACCATCTCCAACACGAAAACATCTCCAGCTGTGGGCTGCTCAGTAGTTTCTTCTTCCTCTTCCTCTTCGTCCTCTTCCTCTTCATCCTCCTCCTCTTCATTTTCCCCAAGCATGGACGCAAAGACTCGATGAACAGATTTACTGACGCCGTCTGAAGTTTCTCCTGGTTGAGAAAGAAGCAAAAAAGGTTTATGATATAATCAAGAGTACATGCTGCTTATCAGGACAAGTGCAGAGAAGACTGAATTCTTCGTAATTAGTAGGCCACTTGAAACAGCTATTCCATAAAGAAAAGGCCTGCAGAAATGCACAGAAACTATTAACAACCTCTTTGGTTTTAAAACACTCTGTTATTCATCACCAATACTTAGTATACCCCAGCCTCTAACATTTTTTGGATATTTGAAATGAAAGCATGGAGGAACACATAGAATGAACCAATAGGTTACTCAACATTTTTCTCAATCCATGCAAGAGACGCATATTAAGCAATTTTCGAGCACTGAACCGGTTGGATGGAATAAAGCTTTTCAGATGAAGAGGCTAAGTGAGCAGACAATTACACTAAACAACAATGCAGCAACCAATTTTTAGAAGTAATTTAAAACAAGATCTTGTAACCATTCTATCCATGACAATAAGTACCTTTTAACATGTGTAAATGCAAAATCCAGACTATTCACATTTCTCCAGAAAAACAAATAACAAGATTCTCTAAAATAAATAAGAATATGATGATATATATACCAAATAAATATGCTTAAAGCATATAATTTAAAAAAAATTTTTTTTCATTAATTACAACTTTTCATTACTAAGTTAACTCAGGGTTATAATGGCCCACAGGTCTATATCTATGCAAAACATCAAAATATGTAGTGTTCAACGGTTTCAGCTGGGGGATTGGGTATCTAAATATTTGATACAAGAATAACCACAGTATCAAGTTGGGACTGAAAAATAAATCTATCATGTATTGCCTATATACAAGAGGGAATTAGGTACTACACCTGAGTTTATCTTTTGTTTTGTTGGTTTTTCTCCTGACTTGGATCTATTTGGTTATTTTTAATCTGACTTGGAAATTAAGCATCTAAAAATCAAGACTTTTCATCCCCCTGTCAGAAAAAAAAAAGTTACTAATTTATCTTCCCTTTTATTTCAGTCTCCTTGGCCGCAGGAATCATCTGAAGATTGTAGCAGATTATCTCTGAAGATTCGTATATCAAAAGCGATTTTAACAATGATCTTTTCTAACATTTTTCTTCTGAATATCCTAAGTCTGATTCTAATAGCAACTCTTTAAATATTGATAAATATTGTCAATGCGTCCTTGATTCTGACTGCTCTTGAGTCTTCTGTGTTCTCTGTGGTAAGAGCAGAAGTAACACTATCACAAAAATTTTTAAAGGTGGAATGCAGGGCAGAAAAGAACACCTTGGAAATATTTCAGAGGCATCAGCAAAAAGAAGTCAACAAGAAACCACAGATATGTGGCTCCGACCACACTTCCAGTGTTCATTTTCTGTCCTTCTAGGACAAGGTCTGGCCATACGTTCAAAATCGAGGCACCAGTGATGCATGTTTTTGGTGAGACAATTTAAGGCCTATTTTTGAAATTTAAGAAAAGGAAGAAAACCCCAAACAAACAGAATAATGAGAATTTGCAGTGGAAGTAGCAAGAGGAGTCTAAGAACCAAAACAAAGAGATCAAAAGTTGCATTGTTATCTCACAGCCAGTGCTGTGAGATATGAATATATGACGAATCCCACAAGAATATGCCCTGACCGGTGCATGGAGTACAGCTTCTCAGATCAGAGAAGGTGTCTGACAGACCGCAGCACACTCAAACCCGAGCTCAAATCCAGGCCCTGAGGCATGGGATCAACCAGCACTGACACAAACTAAAGAGGCAAGTGCTGCTCCTACCACTTCCTGCAAGTTCTTTCACGGTGTAGGAACCCCAGGGAAGTTAAGCTTATATTGCTAAGGCATCTAAGGAAATATTACCATCCCAGTAACTGCACAGAGAAAGCCAGCCAGGGAATCTGTAGCTAGGAATATCCAGCAGAAAATAAGAAAAGAAATAAATGTAGGCACTCTAAACAGGACAAAGGATAACTGAGCAGGAGGAAAAATGCAAAGAAAGAGAGAAAAAGAAACTCCTCCTTTTAGCTATTTTACTTCACTTTGGATGACAATGAAAGAAGGCAACGCTCATACAGTAGAATCAAATATTCAGAAACATTCACGTCTCAGCAAAAGACTAGCAAAGAGATGAACAGGAAAAAAGCCAAAACTAAACAGACAGAAGACTTTTTGAGATAAGTTAAAAAATTACAAGTTAAAAATTATTTGTAACTTTAGAAAAAGTAAACCATTGAGACCACGTGGTTAAGAAGCCGGGGGGGGGCGGAAAATGGAGGGTTTCTCAGAAAAAGATAACCAGTTGGCCAGATCCAGCCCCGTAAAAAGGTAGAACAAAGTTAAAATCCTGGCTGTGGCTTGGAACATCCTACAAAAGATATATATTCCAATGATGTGCTTCAACACCCACAGGTTCAAAAGAAGCAGCCAGCTATCAAAGAACAAGGGCTTTCAACAACCTTTTAAAAACATTTTTCACTGAAATTATAATGTTAACATTTACCATCAGTTTCATCCTGACTTTGGGATTTCCCAGATGCTTTTCTGGATGAAGAGGGAGCCTCTACATCTTCAGTGTTTTCTTCAGCAGACGCATTTTCGCCATCCTATGTACACCAACAATATTAGTCATCAGCTTTATAATATGACTCATTCCTATTTTCCCTAATATCAACAATTAGCATTTAGACCACGGGTTTGCCAGGTTTTGCACTGCTAGTGAAACAGGTGGAATAAGCGCTATCTTTTTAAACGAACAAAACGCACCATTATTTGCTTTAAAAACACTTATATTCTTATCGGTGTGAGGTGACTCAGATGGTAACTGTTCACATTACTTCTGCCTGAAGAGACTAGTCCATTGCCTATCTGGCACTACAGTGAGGTAAGATGACATGGTTCATCATATTAAAAAAAAGTTACAAACGTGTGACAAATCCTTTTAGAAGCCAGCCTTTTTAAACACAAAATGAAATATCAAAATAGCACTTGTTAAGACAGTAAGAAGGTTGCCCTAGAATATCAGTTGTCCCTGACAACTGAGTTCTACTGAAAATTCTGAAGACCAGGAAATATAGAAATTCAGCTGCATCTTGACATGCAGATAGCAAAGTTAACTACAACACTCCAATCAAGCCTACAGAATTTCTCATAATACCTCCATCTGATTACTTTTAGACACAAAGCTGTGCCTCTCTCCCTGTGTTTATTGCTGCCAAGAAACCACAACGATTACCAAAGGGAGTCTAACTGGGTCTCCTCCTTAGATCTCTCACAGAAGATGGTGGAGGAGCGGTAGCATTACATGCTGGTTAATTTTATGTCAAAACCCGCTTCTGCTCATTGTTCCAGCCTAAAGAAGAAATTAATGATGGTGCCTGAAGGTAACTACCACTAGCTTTTGCCAAGTCCAGGGACACAAGCCACCCTGGCATCATCCTGCACTTCTGAAAGGTGGGCGCTCCCCCAAACAACTTGCTCTACCAGTACCTCATGACCTTTACAAATTAAAGCTAGTTTCTTACAGTTTTTGCAAGGAAATTAACAATTATGTAGACATAATCGATAGCTGAGCACAGCAGCACTTAACACAGGCCCACACACGCGAAAGAGGAAGACACGCTGCTCCTGAGGCGGTCCGCGTGCTGCCAGGTGCTGTCATGGAGGGACCGGGCCGGGCCGTGGGGCTCTCAGGCGGGGCACACTCCCCTTCTCGCGGCTCTTGCGCTCCTCTCGCCGCCGCTCGAACTCCTCGAAGGAGATCTTCCCCTCCAAGTAATCGATCAGCTCCGGGCTGAAGCCCGACATCGCGCCGGCACTCCCGGGCAGCGCGAGCG